GTGGAAAAGCGGCATTAGTGACAGGTTAAATAGGTCGGTTAGTGGATAGATAACACACTGGATCCCAATAAAAGTATTTTACTTCTAATGGTGCTTTCAGACCGCAAACGCTCAAACGCTGAAGCCTCGCTCATCAGACGGGCATTCTCTAGTTTTCTAGAGAATCTCTTCACACCAGAACGGTTTTCTCCAATAATGCAGCTTTGCAGGGTGTCTGTGTTCAGAGACCTTCCACGGACTTAATATAACATTAGTATGTGTTCACGGATGTGCGCAATAAGCTTATTTTATTATTAAACGGTACTTCCGATTCGGCGAACACACTCAAAGCAGTTGCATAAAGTCATGGGAGCATGACAACGCATATATTCACAAGCACAAAGTCCCCCATTGTCAACCCTGGTTTTAAGTCGTGGTGTAGCTCCTGTTTTGGCTGTTTATAGCATTTTCAGTCTGCCACTCAGACCACTAATGTCCCCGTGACCACTTTGTGGCTCTCTGATTGGTCGCTGCACGAACGTCCCAAGGAAAGGTTGAGCAAAGTTTATCTCCTGTGGGCGTCCATTTTCCGCTCCTGCTCCTCGACTTTCCCGCGCAGTCCGTGCGTCTCTACTGAACAGTCCGTTCGTGCGTCCCGAGATGTTTGTGCGTTTTGACGCTCGAACGCGCGTCACCATAGACTTTGCATTGAAAGCCGACGCAACGCATGATCCGGTCTGAAAGCACCATAAGCCGACTGGACCAGCCGCACTGTTAGTTTTAAGCTCGTTTATAGCTTGTATTGCAACCAAATGTGAAATCTGATTAAAAGAAAATGATGTCTCAGGAGCAACGTCATTTAGTGGATTAGGTAAGTATGGATGACCAGAGTGCTGTGTACTACTTATGTAAGTAAGTAAGTACTTACTTACTACTTATGGAGAAATGTTCATTAAAGCATTCAGAGATTAGGTTAAGATCAGCAATTGTAGTATTATTAAAGAGCGACTAAACACCAAATCAACTTTTTTTGAACTCATAACCTGCATAAATATGTTAATCGTAGTGCTCTCTACATATCCTGGTCATATTTTTTTGACATTTTAGTTCAAATTAGATAAAATCTTACTTTTGAGCCAAAAAACGTCT